AATGTGAGTGCTACGATGCAGTGATGACGTAAAGGTTGGTTTTCGATCGTGCAGTTGCAAAACGCGGTGCCGTGGAGGGTACACTCTTCCTGCAAACAGATATGGCTGCCTTTCATTGGGAGGGTGCTTTAATTGCTCTTGTTTCAAAGGCCGATTCATTTTTGGTGTCCCACTGCGTGAGCAGTGCTTTTGACTGCGGCGACCGAGCGCGGTTGTCTGTGGATGGTCGGTTATAAGCGAATCTTCGTCGTAGTCGTCATTGTACTTTTTAAACCAAACGATCGTTTCTTTTTTTTTATCTTTTCCCATGACTCGTCGTTTTGAAAGATGTGGGTGAGGTAGAATTTGAAAGCCTCACCGGAGATGCAGTCGGTAAAGTTCATGGTCATCTCCCGTTCCGATCATGATGCAGCGGTAGCGTGGAGCTCGAACAGGTCGAACCAGCCCTGTACAGGTCCATCGTCCACTGCTCCGGTGTACTTGAGGATGGGAAGGTCAGTCGATGGTTCTGTCATGGTACTGGTCGCTGTGTGCGGCCAGGAGATGATTCCATAGTCGATGTATGGTCAGGGCGTCTTGTGGAGAACTGCGTCGATGATGAGACAGTGATGAAGTGGCTGGGAGGTCTTCATCCTGTCGACTCGTGTGATGCTATGATGAATGGGCGACGTGGCCCGGCTCATACCCCATGATTATTCCACTGTCACTTCTTCCTCATCTACTTCTCCTAACCATATGTGCCTTCTTACGTCACATATATGTGAAATACATATGATATTGTTGACATGACATACGGAACCTTTCAGCATCGTTATATGTATGCTCTCTTTTAACTGAATTGCTTTGGAGAGGCTGAGTTTGTATCACCTCGGCTACTTCATTCCCGTAAGTTCTTCGGTGAGAAGGAGAAAAAAAAGGTAGTAACCTAAAAAGAGATAAAAAAGGAATTGAATTATTACAATGCACTCCTCGTTTACAGGAGTTCACACTGAGATCGAATGTTCACTCGCACACATTTCTATCAATTATCTAACTGCAGAACACGGGCTCGCACACAGGTGGAAAGGCGTGCCCCCAGACCTGAATATACGCAGCACAGCAATGCACACTCGCAGCTGCAATTTTTTGTTATGTTGTAGACATATAGCATAGTCATGTAATTTTAGCAGTGCCCTGAAGGACTACAACACGGGTGCTGATTCGCCAGTGAGTTTTATAAAGAAAAAACATGTAAACATAAAGGTGAAGAAAAACTGAACGAAAAACTGCTGATCTTTGTAATCAACATGTGCAGATGGCGCTTCGGTATTGGAATTCCGCATCACTTAGCGTGGTAGAACGTACAGTGCCCAATTTTTATGAAAGGGAACACGGGAGCGCGTGGCCAGCGCGCTCTGGCGGCTGCTGGCAGCGCGTTCAAGTGGGAGTGAGAGCAACCACACTCTTTTGTCGCCTCATCTCGCGGTGAGCAAAACAATCGTTTGTTGCTGATCTGGAACCAGAGGCAAGATTGCGACGCCCTCCCCCTTTAAAGCGATTACGAGAGAGCCTGTAATCGCCTTGAAGGGGGGGAGGGGGTTGCAAAATTGCCGTTTTATATCAGTAGCAAATTGTTGCTTTGCTCACCATGAGATGACGCGAAAAGAGACCGTAGTTGCTATCGCTCCCACTTGAACGCGCTGCCAGCAGCCACCGGAGTGCACAGGCTACGCTTCACCGTGTTCCCTTTCATAAAAATTGACACTGTACACTGATACGTTTCTCTCCTTTCCTTCAAATGTGGAACGCTTCGATCCCTAGCTATTTGTTATGTCATGACAGTATCCTAGTGTGCCGAAGAATGCAATGCAACTGCATTGTTTACAGTGGGCGGCGAATGAAAATGGTTTTGTGTCTGATAGGGATCGTTCATGCTCCCTAATAGAGATGTTGACGCATATTCCGCATTGGGAAATGTATGTTTTTTTTCGCACACGATAAAGGGATTTGATAGACGATGGCCTTTTTGCGATCAATGTAATGAAAAGTGTGTTTGGTGCTGATATTGCTGTGAACAGCAGCGATTGCGGCATCAAACACACTTTTCATTATACTGATTGCAAGAAAGGCCATCGTCTTTCAGATCCCATTATCATGCGAAGAAACATACATTGCACAAAGCGGAAGATCTGTCAATACCTGTATTAGAGAGCATGAATGATCCCTATCAGACACCAAAACATTTTCATTCGCTGCCCATTGTAAAAATATGCAGTTGCATTGCATTCTTCGGCGACACTAGGATACTGTCATGTCATAAACAGATAGCAAGAGAAGTCATCGAAGCGTTCCACATCCGAAGGCAAGGAGAAACATTTATCAGTGTACCTTCTATCACGCCAATTGATGCGGAATTCCAATACCTAAGCGCCACCTGCACATCTTGATTGCAAACGTTATCAGTTCTCTGTTCAGTTTTTATTCATATTTATATTTGCATGTTTCTTTAAAAAATTTGAGTTGCGAGTCAGCGCCTGTGTAGTGCACATTCTTTCCTTCTCAGTCCTCGTTCCCCGGTCTGCTGCTAAAATTAAGATGAATACGTACCAACTTGCTCAAGTTTCAATTCTCATGTAGCATAGTGTTCGGAGAAAGCTTACATATAGAAATGTCAATTTTTTACCCTAACCGTGCCATACTTGTGTGTGTGTGTGTGTGTGTGTGTGTGTGTGTGTGTGTGTGTGTGTGTGTGTGTGTGTGTGTGTGTGTGTGTGTGTGTGTGTGTGTGTGTGTGTGTGTGTGTGTGTGTGTGTGTGTGTGTGTGTGTGTGTGTGTGTGTGTGGGTGTGTGTTCGATGACTGGCAAAAAATGATCTCCATAGTTCCTCATAACATCCAATAGCTTGAACACCATAATCTCGTTCCACATATACTAGACCCATTCAGTGGTGTTTCTTTCCAAATCGCCTCATTTAGTTTCTCAAGGTTACGCAGAATTACGTGGACAGTTTACCAGCATTGCGTCAACTTACTTCGAGCCAACCATTCTTTCTTTGTCATATTATCTATGAGACCTTGCTCTCGTTCACAATGCACACAACTACAAGATTTAAAAAAAATGTTATGTGCAGTGACACGTTGCATGTTTTGCCACTATTGTATTTCTTGATTCACTTATACGTTCTAGACGCACGCTGCATTCGATAGTCTTACGATATGTCTGCATGATCTAGCTCGATCTGAGAATCCTGGCAGTTATTATCAATTGTTTGAACAATATTGATTTTCTTTTCACTGTGAGTTCACTACTCAAAATATTCTCAAGTTTTGTACGATCGGAGCAATCCAGAAAAGCATTCGTTCAACAGGTCTACTCTTGTTCAGTGTAGCTCGTTGAAGTTCGATCGAGAGGAGCTTCGCTTTGTTCAAGCCAATAAAAGTTCGTTTGGAGCTTGCTACCTAATAAAAAAAAAAACTCTAATTATGCGGAGTTTTGTGTCTCAACACCACGATGTGATTGTGAAGGACGCCGTTGTGGTGCGATCAGATTTTTCGCCCATTTCTGGCTTAATTGAACAGACATCTCACAGTGCAAGATCCCTATACCATTTCATCTCCATCCGGGATCTAATCCGTTACCCCCGGGTCAGCAGCCAAGCACCGTAATAACTGATTCACTGCAACGAACAGGCGTTGCACCTTTGTTGCTACTCAAAAGTAAAGGCAAGATGCTTCGTGAATAAACTCATGACTACCTCCAATGCATCCTGAAACAAAACGAAAACGCTGCAAGCTGGCAAACGCGGCTAGCGCTTTTAGTGGGACGGGCTTTCGGTGTATGAATAACGCCGTCAACTTCACTGCTTGCCTTCAGCTAAGCTTCTTATCTGTTGGTACGGTGGGAACACAGAACACGCTAGCGCCACAAAAGTGTGACTAACGAGATTGCCGAACTTCCTACCGGAGGCGCACACACACATGCTGCAAACCCGTGGGCATTTGCTGCTTTTTCTTTATATTCGTCATTTCCTATTTCGTTTCACATTGATGCTCGTTGCGCGAGACGTCAACAGATGGCGGCACCGGCGCGCTTACTTCAAATCACGCCGGAAAAACGCGCGCTCCCTTTCTCCCATTTGACGAGAAAGAGAACGACGCAACGAGCGGATGGAAGGCACAAACGCGAAAAATAGCAAGCAACCTGGGAAGCAGGCGACGCGTCGTCTGCTAGCTCGCTTATTTTAACGTTGCTCTGGAGGAGTTGCGTGGCGCAGCTGGCGTACGAACTTCGCTGCACCGGAAAATAAAACTACGAAACCAAACAATAACATATGGAGCATTCTGGCTTTCTAAAAGAGATTCCGTTGACGGCTTCGAATCGAGAACGACATTGTAGCACGTGGTCCATTAAAAGCGTTCCTCGCTCCTTGCCCCCCTCCTTTTTTTTTTTTTTTTTGTCAGTCAGCGACGGGTGACTGCGACCTTTAATGGCATCTCGACGACGGATGCAATCTCCCCTCCCCCCCTCCTACATTAGAACACGTGTTGTGTGCTTTCGTTTCGGTATATTTTCGTAACCTTTCTTTTATCTACTTTTTTATTTTCGTCTAGAACTTACCACGTGGTGTATGCTTTCACGCATGTCTTGTCGGCTGCTCGTGCTCTTCGTCATTCAATCGAAACCATTCCTTGCTGTGCTTCTTTATTTTTGTCGAAAACTCGTTTCGCGAGATTTGTGTTACAGCACGGTTTTTTTCTCTCTCTCTTTCTATCGTCTCCGTTTTCATTTCCGTTGCCGTGGCAGCTTCCCGAGCGCGCGACACGAACTTGTTGCGTCGCTCCGCGAGCTGGCGTTACGGTCATGGCTCGGCTCCGGGCTTTCGCGCCGGCTTTGGCTCGCCCTTTCTCACGCCTCCTTCCTCTCTTCACTCCTCTTTCTCTCTTCCTTTCACCCCGGCAGCACCGGCGCTTCCGAAGTACTACAAAAAGGATGCGAGCGGCATGCCTGGCAGTTCGAGTGAGAAAGGGTGTTGCGACGGCCGTGAAGAATCAAAAGAAGACGAAGAACGAAAAAAAGAGTCTCGCAATCTACCACTCCCGTCGTGGCTCGCCGCGAGAGTCGGTCGCGCGTTCGCCACCGAGTCGGGTGCTAAGGAGAGGACGCGAGGGAGTGTTTCCTGTGAAGTTTATTCCCAGTTGAAAAAGGTTCTTTTTTTTTACTCTCTCCTCCCGTCGCAGCCTTCGGACTGCCTGCTCGCTCCGTTCGCCCCTCGAGGTCTTCCTCCTGCACCACGTTGTGGCCGCGTAGGGCCGCTGCACTACATTTGACGGATTAACGGATCGGCCGGACGTGCCTTTCGGATATCGTTGCACCGGCCGACCGGTGTAATACATTCATTTACGGGTGTTTGTTTCTTCTGGCTCATTCGCATCATCTTCCCTGTTATTTATCCGTGTCCCACGTCTGCTTGCTGGTTTCAACGGGGACGGCCGGCAGTGCTGTGTTGACAGTGTGATCTACCGACAGGAGGTTTCGCTTCTACCGAGGACTACGGATCGACAGTTAGTACGGAACGTCGTGCCGTGACGTAGACGGCTTCATTCAGGTCAGCTGCAGTTTTGTTTCCTTTTCACAATTTTACGCAAAATGTTATTTTGCGACCTTACAAGTAAGGAAGAATTTCGCGCAATTATGGAAGCTTGAAGTCACGCGAAATACGTTTCTTGAAGAGGACAAGTCCACTTGTCTGAATGATTGCGCCTGCCGACAAGGAAGTGTCCATTGATTTTGTTTTCATGTCTTGATTGCTAACTCACGTGTTAAACGCGTACTGCATAAGTCTCCCGAGTGAGTAGTTCATATATTTTCACGCTTTGGTTTCACAGACCCGGTCGCGCTTCTCAAGCACTCTTTATGGCTGTGAGAGCAGGGTAAGAAATGTTGCGACCGCTTCAAAGTGAAGCACCAATCTGAGCGTGTGAATAAGAACGCGAATATTGATGATGTGAATGATTGGCATCGTCTCACGCAGTCCGGGCTATCATGTCATATTTTTCGAACGACTCTCTAAATCCTGATTCCTGCAGATTTGACCGAATGTTTATCGCGTCCTGTTTTATCACGGTGAGCACTACAGACGACATGACGTACAAGAAGAGTGTCTGCGTCAACGCAAAGATGACTGCGTAAATATGTCAAACGTTTTCGGGTACCACGACGATCAAAGTAGACTTTCGGTTTTCTCGATCGCTCCCATTGCTTTTTCGCGCAGCATGTGTTGGTTGTTGTGCAAGTATCCAGCCTTCACAGCAGACGCACCTTTTGACGATAAGGAGGCAAAAGTCTCCTCGCATCCAAGAGAAGTTTGGCAGCAACTTTCATCGCTTGAATTGTTCGCGCTTTTTTTTTTTCGAAGTCATGCTCCTCAATACAAGAGTACCCCTGTTCTCGCTTTAGAGAACATCTAGTACAGGAACGTACGCAGAAGTTTTTTTTTTTTTTCAGAGGGGGGAGGTGTGGGCACAACCTTGATCAGAAGTGGGTTGGGCAGGCAGATGTGGTGAGGCGTTATTTTGTGCGCTATATGCCGTGGACATGGGCAGGGCACGTGGTCTGTAAAAAGGATAACCGCTGGTCATTAAGGGCAACTGAATATATTCCAGGAGTAGGTAAACGCATGAAAGGGAAACTGAAAACTAGGTGGGCAGATGAGATTAAGAAGTTTGCAGGTATAACGTAGCAGCAGAAAGCAGAGGACTGGGTTGATTGGCGGAGGCTTTTACCCTGTAGTGGGCGTGGTAAGACTGATGATGGTGATTATGCCATGGCCAGACAAAATATTTTGGTAGAGGGGAGAGGCAAGGGCTCGGTGGGCCATCCTCTGGCTACGCGCTACTTAAGTAGGAGCGTAAGGAAGCGGAAAAGCGAAATATAAGGACTGCATTAAAGCATCTTTCTCTATTTGATATGGCGATACATTGACCGTAAGTTATGTGGGTAGCCATTTCGATGAATGTTTGCATTGTGGTGAATCCGAGCAAGGTTTCAGGTTGTTCGTCGCGTGAGTCCAATATTACTGAGGCAGCAATTTTAAATAAGGGTCAGCAAACGTTTTCCTGCTATCTCGTGATTTCGATCGCAACACAGTGAAGAGGCAACGCTTGGACGTTTCCACGTGGGAAGCTTAGGCCCAGCCAACTAAATATCTGATTTTGATAGAATTTTATTCCTCCTCCTATCTCACAACTTGAATGGCAAACTATTCCAGAAAATCTTAGGCAATGGGCGCTTTGAATCCCTCCCGTAAAAAAATAAAAATCAATGCCTGTAGTGGTGCGTACATTAAACTTGGATTATTTATATAGAAAGGACGTATGTTCCTAAGTACTACAAAAGTAATGAAAGCGCCGGTCTATCTTCGCAACGTAACATTTCCCACTTTCGGTGAACCTGAAGAAAAGCTATAATCCGGCATTTTTTTTTTTTTACAACGAGCTTTACAACTTCGGTAAAACCAAGTTTTCATGGCCTTCGGTCGCGCGAAGCTTTACTCCAACGCACGACTCCAAATCGCGTGTATTTGCTGCTGACGACCTCCGCGAGTAGCGCCCACGTATATCTGTGCATTCCATGGTCTTTACACAATCAACCTCACTTTTGATCGCAAGTTGCTTCTCATACGACATACAGTGCACTGAAATTGACATTACGAACTACCTTTCACAGCTTACAGGCGCATGAGATGCACCCTATACTGTCTTCTATTCAAAAATGTGTTTTCCTGCTTTCGTTTATCATTATATGCTTCAGCTGCTAAAGCACCTTGGTTGAAACAAATGTTAATTTTACTACACACTGCCGGCGCCAACTGCCGTAGTTCCTAAGTTTGCAGCTGCACATTTTTCATGTGGCAGTGACCGCACATTCAGCTTAGGCAGAGAAAGGGAGAGAGAGAGAGATAACAGAACAGGTTGGGAAGGAAAGTTTTGGGCAGCACGTGTAGCCTGCCAGAGCAAGCTGACGATAATATTTCCGGCCCTGGCAGACATAACAGCTGATGTCGAAACGTAAAACTCACTGAGCATGCAATTGCAACCATGGGTTGCGCTCTTGTCGCAAGAACTCTCCGCAGAAGAACGCGGCCCAGCCTCGCATGTTTGCAACACAAGAGGGGAAACACCATAAAAAACCTCTTGAACTCTCGCGTCAAGGCATCTTAACTCACGGAGTTGATTCTTTCGAACGACTACAACATAACCATTCTCGGTTTTGCGGGGAAATTTCCGCACGTCTTTGTTTCAGGGATAGTGCAATATTTAATAAATGTGGTTCTTTGTTGGCACTGGCAAGGTTTCCTAAACTTATTAGGTTGATCTGCCGATTCACCCAGATTGCAATTACTAGTTCGTTTAGCGAAGTACTTGTCAATAAATTCACGGTAAGCACATCAAATTAGTCGCGCGATGTGATAGAGCGAAAATTTCGAAGCATCAGCACGAATCATTTGTTACACTTGTCCTCATTTCCACCAAGCATGAGATGACATCAAGAATGGTCGCTATAGTACTGTAGGATCGCGGCTTATTAAGCCGGTTTTCTTAGAATCCCCGTGTAGCTCTGCGTCGTTCAAAGCACGAGGAAAGGTGTGCAGTTTTGGATCTGTCAAACTGGTTCTCTAGATTGCTACATTATTGCTATTCACTAGATCGCTGCAATTGCCACAAACATTTCATCTAAAAAAACTTGCAGGTTTAACTAGTGTGCAACATAGACGTGACGAAAACAATCGATGTGTGTAATTACATAAATATCAATGTGACCATAGAGTATAAAATAAGCTGGTACGAAAACCTGCCAACAGACAAAAAAGCGGCTAAACCTTGCCGACCTAAGTGAGTACGACCACAACAGCGAATAAAACAAGCACAAGAAAAAGTGGGCGTGAACACAGCTCTGACTTTCGAATGAAAGTTTGTTGCAACGAGAAAAAATTTACATACATAGAAGGAAAAGCTTGAAAGAGCCACAATTCCGTTCACCGTTGTCACAGAACGCTCACAGATGCTTTCGCTGAGTTAGGCAAGATTATTTTTCGTGAGCAAAACGGATGCCGCACTGACACAGGCACTGCAGAATCGCGCAATCCCCTCGCCTGCGATAGTCTCGCGTCGTCTGGTTCACACTACTGCCGAAGGCTAAGAGTTGTGTGAACTGTTCTAGGCTCACGTTTTGTTCGCAGACATGGCTCGTTATAAAACGCAATAGTGCTTTGTTTTTTTCCTGTAAAGTGATTCTAACTGCAGTCTCTTTTAGGTAACTTTTCAATACGTCTACCACCCTCTTGTTATAGGTAATGTCATGTAGTACCTTCACTTTCGTCATCCTTGATGCTGTTTTCAAACAGCCACGCACCGTAGCAAATTGCATAATAGAAGCACGTGGCAAAAAGAGCGCTTATGCGAAGTTAACATACCCAAACAACACGCGGCATCACGAAGAAGAAACAAACAGGCTTCACGTTAGAAGGCTTCTAACGTGGATCAATTTCTGAGCAGAGGAAGAGACCAGTGGCTTCGTGACCCATTCCCTCCCCCCCCTAAATCCTCTCTCTTCTCTTTCGAGGCAGCTTTTGTTTTGTACACCTATAGCCTTAAGGGACTTGGCGTCTCTACGTAATGTCCTTGCGAACGCCTGCGCCTGGTGAGCGAGAAACGCATAGCTGCTTCTTTTCTGGAACGCCTCCAGAACCGACGGACTATTAGCGGGAGAATCTTTATGGGAGCCGTCGGCTGCGACTTTCTTTTTTTCTTTGTATTTGCTTCTCGTATCGCAGCGCGTAGTGTGGTCAGACGCGCCACTGGAAGGCTCGTAAATGCCCTGGAATGCTTTATGACCGAGGAGGCGTGCAAAGAGCAAAAGGAAATAAAGACCCAACGGACGTGATTCGGGTCGAGATACCTGGACCAAGGATGGAATGTAAAGACTTCTACCGACACAGTACGTATACGTTGGAGACGCCTAGCGGATGACGCTTTCGGTGGCAGCGTTACGTCACGTATACTTCTGCAGCGCACAGATGTAAACGTATACGTTATTCTTGCGAGCGGAATGCGGGATGTTCTATTGTATACGCACGGGGTCTTCGAACTGCGCTCAGTCAGCACGCAAAGGCAATCGTAGCAATCGCGCCGGAATGGCCACCACTGCGTTGGTAGATGAGGAAACCAGGGAATGATATTTGTCCTTTAAGTTCTATAAATCTATCATTTCAACGTGTGCCGCATCGAATGTTTAGAAACCACGGCTTTACTGAATGGCAAAATTTTTTTCGGGGAAATAAATCCTGCCTTGCTGGCCAGTCAATAGGTGATGTCCCGGACATCGTCACCTATTGCCAATAGGCGATGTCACTCGCCTATTGTTTTTCGTCGCCCCTCAGTACACAAAGGAATATTCTTTTTGATCGACTTTTGTTACTGTGCAATGCAGCCCTCATTGACCGCTGCTCGAACACAATTGTATGTAGGTGTATCCTTGGTATGTGTAGGCGAGTACGCGTATATTGGTTGATTTGTATGTTTAGGTTGTTATTGTACTTCTTTTGCC